AGTTGCTGTAGGTTTTCACCCGATGCCCATATGGTAGTGTCATCAGCAAACAAAACCACTTTCACTAAATCAGAAACCTTACATATATCATTAATGTATAGTATAAATAATTTAGGTCCCAAAACAGAACCCTGAGGCACTCCACATACAATATCCAGCTCACTCGATTGGTATTCACCCAACTTCACAAATTGACGCCTCTGTGTCAAATAACTTCTAATCCATTTCAGAACCATTCCTCTGATCCCATATTTTTCTAACTTATCCATTAATAACTCATGATTGATTGTGTCAAATGCTTTTTTTAGATTAATAAATATTCCCATCATGTATTTCCTCTCATCCATAGCACTTGTTATGTCCTCCATTAGGTCGTCTAATGGCCAGAGATGTCGATCAGTTCGGCAATCAGAGAGGATTTTATGTCTATCAATAAATGTGTCTAATCTGTTATTAAAGAAACCGGTCTATAATTTGTGAAGTTGTGCTTATCCCCAGATTTATACAATGGAATAACCTTTGCTATTTTCATATTATTGGGGAACTGACCAAGTCGAAACGACATGTTAAAAACATGGGTTAATGGTTTGCATATCCCCTCAATTGCCCATTTAACCATTGTCATACTGATACCATCACTATTACTGGATGATTTATTACCACATTTGTTCACTATCTCTATAATTTCCTTTTCAACTATTGGCTTCAGAAACATAGAACACCTATTCCTTTCAATTGTATTGTTGTTTATAATGACGTCTGTACAAATGCTACTTGCTAAACCAGGACCCACATTCACAAAAAACCTATTAAACTTCTCAACTACATCCTCAAATCTGTTGACCGGTGTATCATTGTCCATAAAATATTGAGGGTAGTTACTCATGCTGGTACTGTTTCTAATCAATTTATTTAATATATTCCAAGTACCTTTCATGTTATTCATCAGCTTTCACTGAACCCTGCAGGTTTGCATAAAGTCCTCACAGAAAAAAACTATGTGATCACTAACCAGACTGCAAAGCAGATGGTAATAGGCTTGAAAAGGTTCACTAACATGTTTTTTGCATTTATTCTAGCCAAGTGGTTACCCTAGCTTACCTTTGAAGTAATGGTTATGAAAAGCACTGGGCCACTCCAGTATTTTAGTCCCAAAATCAGCACTTTTCTCTTCTCTCTTAACAGAAGCAGTGACTTCAGCTGAGGCTGAGGTTGATGGTAAAGTGGTAAGGGGTGAGGGAAGCAAGGACAACCACCAAGCAGAGCAGAAGAGGGGAGGGGAGGGTGGCATCATGCAGAATGGGACGAGGGGAGTATAAGGAGACAGTGTTAGACACACTCTTGTGCACATTCATACACACTCACAGCATCCACATATACACCACAGAAAACAAAAGTGCTTTTTCTACCTCGTGTCTCTTCCAAGTCTGTCTCAGTTGTAGTTTCCCCTTCTATCACTGGGGGCAGCGCAACAGCAGGTAGTCTGGCAAATGACTGCCACGCCGTTCGTATAGAACCCAGCACATTGTTCTTCAAATCCATGCTCATACGAGTGAAACTGTCCTTTAGTTCTACAAAAAGAAATAAAGGTTATCATTATTAACAAAAGCTTATACCACAATATTTTTCAACAAAGAAAAGGAAAGAGAAAGAGACAGTCATACCCAGGTGCATCCTTTTCCGGCCTTTATGGTGCGGGATTAGCATGGGCTCCAGATCCACATCCGAAACAATCATGGGCTCTATCCGATAAGCCACAGGGTCATACTATGCATAAATAAAAGAAAAAAGGTGAATATAACTTTTAATAGATGACCTTTTTTATCATGTAAAAAAAGAAAGATTTGCTGTTTATAATAATAATAGCACCCTTTGATGACAATAGTTATCTTAGCAAAATCTCAGATGTAAAAAGTTTTTATTTATTGAATAAACTGATGCTATGCTGTGATCTGTCCTTTCCAACATGAAATGCAACAAAATTTGAAAACGTTCTAAACTGACCTTGCATCTTTATTTGGATAATGAATGAGAAATGATGCATATTACTCACCGGGTGGTAGATGTTATAAAAGCTCTTGCAGGTGGGGAAGGTGTAACTTGGATCAATGTGTTTAAGCCCACGAACAGTCAAGAACATTCCAATGGGAGAGCCGAATGCAAAAAACATCTGAGGGTGGAATGCCAGCTGTGGGTAATCAATCGATACCTGGGTACGGAAGGTGGAGTTGGAAAAACGTGTTATAATTTTAATACAATGATTCATAGGATGTGTACACATCAGTTAAGACTCCGCTATTGCACTGTAATGTTTGAAACCATCAGGAGGAGACCATGGAGCTGACCACTCATGCAGGACTGGATGAGCACAGATAGACACAGAGTGTGGTCTTGGTGTGACTTAGCCATGGAAACCCTATGGCTCATAAAATAGAAGCTTGAAGCTTTATTTTATTGTCATTGTAACATTGTGACACGTACAACGAAATTTTGTTTGGAGCTGGAGGGGCCGCTGCGTGCATACGCGCCACCATCATAGGCAACTTGGGGGTTCAGTGTCTTGCCCAAGGACACTTCGACATGTGGACTGCAGGCACCGAGATTCGAACCTTCAACTTTTCGGTTGGGAGACTGCTCTACCCACCGCACCACTGTCGCCCCCACTATAATTCAGTCGCGCTGAGTTTTCCCTGAACAGATGGGATTGGTCAGAGAGGATTATATGTGAAGAGAAACTCCAGGCACAGTGAGATCAAACAGAGCTAAGGAAAAGGCCTGAAAGAATGGGGACACCATGTGAGACACACCTGTCCCTTGGCTATGCCTCCACTGGGCTGTCCAGGCAAGCAGGGGGAGGAGAGAAGCAGGAAGGTGCTTTCAGCTACTGGTACTCCCAAGCACAAATCATCACATTGTATGCAAGCATGTGTGCTACCTGTCCGATGCCCACGTCAAAGTATTCGTAGTCTACAGCACTGGTGACTGACTGCGCCCTGTGGAACTGGGAGTGCTGAGTTGCCAGCCCTAAAGGCTGGTTACCAACATGATCAGTGGTCAAGGGAGGTAGAGGTGCCACACACTCTGTCTGTGTCCTACAATCCTATTTAGATTAAGAAACATCAACATGACTAAAAGCCACTAGCAGAACAGGTCCACAACAGAACAATCCCCATCAATGGTTGTTTAAATACAGAAAAAATTTAAATATAAGTAATTAATGTACGTGAGTTTCCTCCCAAGAAATTACAATCAGATAACTGTGTGGTCTTAATGTGAACAGCAGAGGCATATTAATGTCATGTGCTAAAGCCATCTAGATATACTGTACTTTGTGTCCAGATCCAAGGCACATTCATGTAAAGGGAGTCTGGTGGTCACTTTAACTAGCCAGACATGCAGTTTTATTTTTTAAAAACCCAAATGAAGCACAAAACTCAGGATAGCTTTCAGCTATGTCTGACCTCCAGAAGCTTTTTCCTCCTGATGTAGTTCAGGATCTTCTTTCGAGGTCCAAGAGGAATTCCTAAATCTTTGAGATCGCTGTCATGGCAAAGAGCCTAAAAAAAAGAAATATAAGTATTAAACTATGCATTACATTTGAATTTGTATGTCCATTGTGTGCATGTGTGCACGTATTACCAGTGATTCCAGGTCGAGGTTTTCTGCCTGTAGTGTATCCAAGTATTGCTGTAGTCCCAGTTTGCTCAGAGCCTGCTCCAGTGTATCACATTTCAGACAACAGGGCTCCCAAGAAGACAGCTTAAACACCGGGAAGGACAGAATGGTAAATATGCAACATTTTTTTAGTATACTGATATTATCTGTAATAATGAATATTATCATACCCCTTCTCTGGTTTCTGATCCAGTCCTCTGATTGGTTAGCAGGTCAAACAGGATAAGTGAACCTGAACAATAAGAGACAACATGGATGAGCTGAAACTCTTTATGTTCCACTTGTTTGTGACAGTGTGTGTTTCTGTGTTTATACATCTCTAACCCAGGCTATGGCCCACTACTGAAACTGCCCCATTGAATTCTGGGTGCCTCTGTTTAAAGAGGTCGTGCAGCCTGTTGACCTCTGAGGCCACTGTGTCCACTATGGTCTGGCAGTAGGTGGGGCTGTTGTAGAAAAACAGGTCCAGCAGAGTGTCATTAGTGAAATGTCTCAGCCTGCTGATGCTGGGAAGAGTGATCCTCTGGATGTCCCTGGAAAGTAAGGGGGGGAGAAAATAAAACATGGGTAGCCAGAGTTCAACAATTTTCTGACAGTAACAGAGATACAGAGGTGGGGTGAGAAATTAGTAAAAAAGTCTTAGACTCAAATTTAATGGTCTTCTTTAAGAAGAGAGTAAACTGTATATTATTAATAATGAAAGTATTTTCAATGCTACAAATTACAAATACACAGCCTTGTGTATTCTGTTTTACACACCTAGCACATTGTGACACAGAGGGGGGAAACTGTGCCACCCCTGGTCACCCATCTGCCCCCTCCTGCCCAAAGGCAGTAGCAGTACTGTACAGCAGAGGAATCTTGTTTTCTCTGTCTCCTGTCATACTTACTTATCAACACCAGTGGCATCCCCATGTAGAGCACTACGCCAATTGACTGGGAGGAACTCCACTCTGCCCACCAGGCCATCCTGCTGAGCACGCTTATAATGAGAGGCCAGAAGGGACAGGGAAGCGCTCCTAAAGTCATTTACTATAGAGAAGGAGAAGAACACAAGTAATAAATACATATAAATATATGCATTTATACACACAAAAACACACACTTACCACACTGTATAATGGATCTGAAGCGTAAATCACATGCAGGACCGATGCCATGCACCATAAAGACAAGGTGGTCCACCTTTTCTGGCTCACCTGGGAAGACACACAGACATATAATGGTCCAAAAAGTGTTGACTGACAGTAATGCTTTCTGATATTTGCTTCATATTCCAGCATAACTAATTCAGTGCGCCCACACACATACCATCAGTTATTTCTACAGAAATGTTGTCTACTCCCCTCTTGACCGTTCGAGGCCGGGTCTGCTCTGAGGGAGACGATATCCACTCATCCTGTAATCCTATTGGCTGGTACTGCATTATCAACTGAGTCAGCAACAGGAAATGGAAGACAAGGGAATTTGTGACAAGGAAACAATGTACATAATTTTAAAAATGATAGTGATCATTTAACAGCAGCCCTTACTTTGGGATTGTGTAAGATAACAGTCTCTCCAGTGGGAAAGTCCAGTTTCCTCTTCCATTCATTTAAGGTCACTGATATCATATAGGCCTCCTGAAAAATTAGAAGATGAGGGGGAAGGAATCAAAGACTGACAGAGAAGAGCAACTGAGGAACAGGCAACAGTAGGAAAAGAATAAAGTCAGAACCTGTAGGAATGAGCAGTGTAGTGGTGAAAGCTCACAGTCAGTGTCAGACTACCTCCAAACTTTTGCTGAAGTCCTCAGGATAAGGCATGAACCTTGTGTCTTTATCTCCTTTGTAGAACCAGGTACAGCGACGAACTTCAGTGGGAGCTTGCTCCCAGTACACAGGGTAGCATTTCCTCTCCTTGACATGAACATCATACCGCTGTCCATCTACAGCAACTACCACCTCCTCCTCCTTGCTTGCTGCTGGAAAGTAAACATACACACTCATTTTAGAATCAGAATCAGTTTTATTGGCCAGGTGTGTCGGACACATGAGGAATTTGACTCTGGTACAGCGGCTCTCAATGTGTATGTACTGTACATATCCCCATGCAAGGGGCTAATAAACAGTAAACCAGCATAAGGTTGTGTAATATAACAAGATAAGCAGTGTATTAACAAGCAACAAACTGTGGAAATAATGCAAAATAAGCAGTATAAACAGGCAGTAAACAATGCAGACAGACAAGGAATGTTCATCGTGAAATGAGATAAATAGGAATAAAAACAGAGTACTTAAAACTAGAGACCTGTATGAATCTGTATAATCCGTACGAGGTATATTTACAGGTATTGCACTGAGGGTTATTGTCCAGTCATACTGTCGTTGGTTAAGTGTTCATCAGAGTGGTGGCCCAGGGGAAGAAACTGTCCCTGTACCTGATTGTTTACAGTGACCTGTAATGCCGTCCACAGGGGAGGAGTTCAAACAGATTGTGTCCAAGGTGTGAAGGGTCAGCAGTGATCCTATCCGCCCTCCTTCTGACCCGTGAGGTGTACAGGTCCTCCATGGAGGGCAGGCTCACACCAGTGACCTTTTCTGCAGTCCTGACTGTCCAATGAAGTCTGTACTTGTCCTGTTTGGTTGCTCAGCCAAACTAGACAGTGATGGAGGTGCAGAGAACAGACTCGATGATTCCTCTGTAGAACTGTATCAGCAGCTCCTGGGGCAGGTTGAACTTCCTGAGCTGGTGCAGGAAGTACATCCTCTGCTGTGCCTTCTTGGTGATGGTCCTGATGTTGGACGTCCACTTCAGGTCCTGGGAGATAGTGGAGCCCAGGAACTTGTAGGACTTTACTGCTGATACAGTGCTGCCATGGATGGCAGGGTTTTTCCTAAAGCCCACTGTCATTTCCACTGTTTTGAGTGTGTTCAGCTTCAGGTTGTTGCAGCTACACCACAGGACCACCTGCTCAACCTCCCGTCTGTAGGCTGACTCGTCATCATCTCGGATGTAAAGGCGAGACCAATGACCGTTGTGTCATCTGCAAACTTTAGGAGCTAAACAGAGGGGTCCTTCAAGATGCAGTCATTGGTGTAGAGTGAAAACA